CCTCCCTGTCAGCCTGTCCAGTGCTCTGCAGTCCTCCTCCCCTGGACTGCAGCTTCCACCAGCTCCTGCCCAGCTCGCTCCTTCCTGTGTCCTGGGCTCCAAGGCGTGGGTGGGTGACCCCCTTCCCCGGTCTCCTGGCTGCTCAACCACCACCTTCTGCTGCCACCACTTATTCAACAGTCAACTATGTCTCCAAAGGGCCCAGGCCAGCTTCCCCTGCACCAGCTTGGACTCCTTGTTGTGCAAACAAGCAGACCGCTTAGGTCCTCTGGGTAGCACTTTGCCCCAAGAACCCCTCTGATGGTCCATCAGCCTCTGTCTGCTCCTTCTCATGGTTCCCCTGCCTTGCTGACCCTTAGGACTTTTCTCAGGGACAGGTCTGTGGGTGGCCCAGAGTTCCTCTGGACTGGAGCACACTTCTCTTTCGCTGCGTACGTCGTTTGGCCCTGTCATCACAGGGTGACTGACAGCTGCCTGTTACAAGGACAGCTCTCAGAAGGTAGACGGTATCTGTCTTGCTCACTGATGGATGATTGCCCTTGCAGCACTCAGCAGATCAGCGTGGAATACAAAAGGGAGGGACCCACATCTTTCTACCCTGGTGACCCCGGTATCCTGCAGAAGTCCTGCTCGGAAATCATTTGTCAGAAATCACAGTAAGTCGAAAGCTTCCTGTGTTCAAGGTTCTATTAACCTCCCTCTATGTACCATCTCAAGCACCCTTACATGCACAGAGCAATAACCTCCACTTTACAGATAAGGAAATAAGCACAGAGAGGTTAGTTGGCTTGCCCAAGAACACATAGGCAGGAAGTGGCTGTGCCAGGTTTGGATTTCAAGTATCCTCCTCTAGTCAGTTGAATGGCAATCCCTCCGCCCTTGCCTAAAACTGTCATATCTTACTCCCCAGAATCTGTGAGTGTGCCCTTGTTTGGAACAAGGGTATCTGCAGAATAACTGAGCATCTTGAGATGCGATCATCAATGACTAGTGTGCCTAGAGGAGAGGGAAGACACACAGAGATGTGAAGACGAGACAGTCACTGGAGTGGTGACCACAAAACCAGGAAGACCCAGAACAGTGGCAGTCACCAGAAGCCAGAAGAGTGGCAGGGAACAGAGTCTCCTCAGAGCTGTAGAAGGAGCCAACCCTGCAGAAAACTTGATTTCAAATCACTGGCTTCCAGGACTGAGGGAGAAAACACGTTTCTGTTATTCAAAGCAGCTGGTTGATGGTAATTTGTCATGGCAGGCCTAGGAGATGGACACAGGCCCTGGTCACAGAGTGATACTTCTGGTGCTTTGTTGCCAGGCCTGAAGCGAGAGCCCTAAGACAGAATGGGCTGGGTGACTGTGGCCTAGTCACCCCGCTCTGGATCAGATTGGTCCATAGAAAATGAGTACTCGGTACACTGTCCCCTCAATTCTGACATTCTGCCACTCTTGAAAAGACCACAAGCCAGGCAAACAGGGCTATGTTGGGATTTTCAAATTTATTCCAACGTGCTATTCTTTTTCTTTTTTTAAAAAATATCCTCCGGCTGAACACTCAGCTGGAGCTGTAATAAAGGCAATTATTATACTTGTAAAAACTTCTCATTCACAGTACAGATGTAATTTACAACAAAGGTCACACACATCAATACTGAGCATTTTTTTCCTTTTGTACGTCAGACTCTGTGCTTTAGACCTGCATGGATTTTTTGTTGAGTTTTTTTTTTTCTTTTGCACTGATATATACCATACTGACATTGCAAGATGCAAATGTAGAAACCGGAGTTTAAATAAAATTACAGGCAAAACTACCCCATCCCAGTGCAGTGGCTGTACATATCTACAGTACAATTTTTGGAATGTATTGCCATTTAAGAACATAGAAACTTTCTACAGACAATTTCACGTACAGAATACATACACCTTTTAGAAAAAAAAAAGGCAAATATTTATCTTACAGAGAGTGTGTATCTTACATCTGCCTACACGTTTTCTTTTTTTCTGTTTCTTTTCATTTCTTTTAACACTAGATTTAGTAAAGTGATCATAAGTGCCGATGCGTTTTTTTTTCCTAATGGGAAGCAGACTGGAATCACGACACGGAAGCAGAGTTTGCACAGATCTTCGGGAACTTTCTTCCCCCCCGGGCAGACTGGTCTCCGAGGATGACTGCTCGGCCAGGACTTTAGTTTTGAGAAAGACTTGTCTGGAGCAAGGTCTAGAGAGGAATTCAGCTCAGCTACATTGCTTATCCTTATTCCAAAGGACTGGGTGGGACGGGAACAGGGCCTAGAGGAATCTGGAAGCGAATTCTTTCAGACTTTTTCTGACAGAGGGACTTAAGTCTGGGGGAGTGAGCAGTTTGCTACTGTCCCGCCCCTGGAGGGTCTCAGTGGCTGGGACCCCAGTGTAAGCTATGGACAAGGATAGGAGAGAGCAGGCCTGTCCTTGGAGAAGAAAGGGGTTGGTATCCAGAATGACTGATATTGCCAAGGTGTGAAGGGCATCCTGGAGGGCAGGTCTAGGTGGGGGGGGGGGAGTGGATTGGGATCCCCAGCAGAAGATAAGGTTTGTCTGGAAACCACAGCAAGTTGGTTCTTCCCCCACGGCCAACATCCAAGGACAGGAGCTAGTCTGTCCCGAGAAATGGCATTTCAACAGAGCTAGCTCGGGTGTGTGCACCACGTCAGTGCCGCTGGCCCCACTGAACCCCCCAGGGCAGGGGCAGCAGATCACAGGCAGGCTGGAAACTGCGTGCGTGGCTGGCAGGAGTCCGAGGCCCAGAATGGGGTGTGACTGGAGAGAGGCTTTTCCCAAAGCGGGAGGTTGTGCATATGGGTTGGGGCCCAGGGCCCAGGAGAGTGGGCGCAGGGTCTGGCAGAGAGGGTTAGCACTGTGCTTTGTGGTGGTATCAATTCGGTTCCTCTGGGCCCCTGTGGGGCAGCAGCTCTGAGGCCAGATTCTATGAAGGTATTCTGTCCCTGTCCCTTAGATTTCCAGTGACCCCTGGCCCATTACTTCTTCAGAAAACTGCAGGGACTCTCCCCTGATGGCCACACTGTCCATTACTAGGCTGCCCAGGAAGGGGACCTTGGTGGATGGATTGTTTGAGTACAGGGGAGACAAAGTGCCTGGGAGAGCTTGGGGTGTATAGTAGGGTGGAGGGGGGTGGCTATCCCTAAGGTCAGGAGCCAAGCCAGCAGTCAGGGACAGGAAGATCTTGCCCTGTATCCAGCTTCTGAGGCTCAGCTCTTGAAGCCTAGGGGTTCAGGATGAGTGAGGGGAGCCCAGGACAGAGGCCAGGGCTCTGTGACCAGGGCCCAGGCTCTTACTCACTTGCTACAGATCCAAAGAGTGCCAACGTGGTCCAGGTGGGCTTGCTGGTTTCTCCTAAGGTGAGCAGGAGCCCTAGCCTGAGTCAAGCAGCCAGGCGCTACCCCAACTCCCCAGCGCTCGAGACTCTGGGAGGCCCCCAGGGAGGCCCTGCTCTTTTTGTCTCAGCTTGGAGCAAGGCAAAGAGAATGAGCGGCTGCTCTGGTGGAGGCTGGGCCTGTGGCTGGTTTGTCCACCCAGCAGGGGCCTGCAGGGAAAGGCCTGAGCTGGAGAGAGGGGAGGGATGGCCAAGCATGAGATTGAGGCCTATCTACAGCCTGGCGGAGGTCTGGGAACTGGCCAGAGAGGTCCCTGTTCTGTGCAAGGTGGCACCAGCACCTAGCCTGGGTGGGACACACCATGGCCCCCCTTTGTAAAATATGAGTTGTTTCTGGAAAGATAGGGGGAAACTCCTCCTCTCCCAGGTGGAAATGGGAACCTCTAGCAGCAGTGCACAGGAGCACTCACTTTTACAATTAACTATATGGGCTAAACATGCTGGAGGTCAAGTTCCATATTTTAACTTGGGATTTAAATTTCTGGTCAAATTATTTTTCTTGAAAAGCAGGGTTTTTTTTGTTTGTTTTTGTCCCAGGAAATACAGAAAAATTCAAAGGATGTGGTACAATTCACAACTCTTCTAGGTTGAGAGAAGAGAAGAGGAGGAGGTGGGGGGATATGCCAAACACCATCTTCTTTTTCTATATTTATAGGTTTTTTTTTTTGGGGGGGGTCTTAAAAGAGATTTAAGCCAAAACATAGGCCCAGGCAGTTCCTACCAGTCACCATTTAGGGTATTTCCTTAGGTAGTAGAGGCCTGGCCATGTGTGGAGGGGACAGAGAAACCAGTCCTGCTCCAAGGGACCCGGAGCCCTGTGAATTCACAGCGCCGAGCCCTGGAAAAGCCCAGCCATGAAGGTCATGAGGCCCCTGTAGTGCAGGGACTGAGGTGAAGCAGAATCCAAACCCCAAGCTGAGGATAGTCCCTTCAGCCTTGCGGGCAGCCTAGGGCCAGGGCCAGGAGAGCAAGGCAGGGGTTAGGTGAGCCAGAGCCAAGAAAGCGACAGTCGGGGCTCCTTTCCTAGCCCAGAGGCTGGGGGCAGGATGGTGGGTATTGAAGGGAGGGGCTGTCACATGGCTTGCTCACCTGGGAAATGCCAGGATAAGCCCACAACTCAGATGAGCTGGGTATCTGGGATCCCTGGGGGAACCAACCAGTTTTTACCTTCTACCTGCTATTTTGGGTTGAAATTCTAGCAAAAGCAACTGCACCCCCGCTTTTTTCTTATAGAGAATAAAAGGAAAAAGAAGATGATCTCTTGGGGTTCTGCCTGTATTTGTGTTCCTCTGCCTGGGGCTGCTGGCCCTTCTCTGGCAGAAAAGAGTGGCCGCTGGCCCGGGCAGGGAAGGGGGAACTAAAGCAGCGATGAACAGGAACCCTAAACTTCTGTACACGGACTGCTTGCGTCTCCACTTAATTGTGTCCTGTGCCCTCAGTGCATCCCCTTTCCCTAGGGCAGCGGCTGCCTCTCACTGTCCTTGGAGGCAGTGGCTGTGACTGCAGGGGTGCGGTAGAGCACCCCTCCTGCAGCCTTTCCTAAAAAGCACAAACTATCCACAGCCTCAAGCTCCTTGTGGGTTTGTCTTGTTTTTATGTATGTGTGTGTGTGTGTGTGTGTGTGTGTGTGTGATTTGTTTCTTTTCAAGCAACAAAAGGTATAGAAAAAGGCACAGGTAACTGCAATACGTGGGAAGATATAACAGATGGGAGCTGAGCAGAAACTGTGTGGACAGATGGACAGATGGGACAGGGGGCCCATGGGAGCAAGATGACTCCAGGACGTTGGCTGCAAACGTCTGTTGCGGAACACCGGAAGCCAGATGCTGACGCGGTTGGACGGAGAGAGGCTAAGTGCTTGGGGGGGCCCTGTCCTTGGGCTGGGGTGGCGATGCCCTGGGCTCCCCACTACCTGAGGGCTTGGGGGAGCCCTGGCTGGTCCTGGGTTCCCCAGAGAGGTTCCTCCTCCGGGCTGGGAAGCGAGCAGAGACCTCGGCCAGGCAGCCCACGGAGCTGCTGCGGTCCAGTGGTGGGGCGGCAGAGGCCTCCGGGGTGGCCAGCGTGCATGGTGACTCCAAGTGGAGGCTCCAGGACTGTGCCACCTGTTGGTCCTGGGGTGGCCGTGGGGTACAGGGGCTGTGTGTGGCCACAGGTTCCACAGGCACCTTGGCCCCATAGGGTACCCAGTCAGGAGGTCTGCCTGGGCCTCTGCCGGTCCTCTCCCCTTCCTTGGGGTAGTCTCTGTCCTCCAGCTCCGAGGAGAGTGTGAACTTGGAGACCTTAGCCACGGGGGACACAGAGGCTGATGAGGTTCCAGTGGGACTCCAGCGGCCTCGCTCCTGGGCCTCTCGGGCCCCTGTCAGGTCGCTGCCACCCCCCGAGAAGCCACTGACCCAGGCTGTGGAAGGCCCTGGCAGCAGGGTGGGGTGGGCCCCAGGCCGGGCTTGTACCATCTGGATCCCACCGATGGGAATCAAGGGGCACGGGGCACGGGGAAGGTGCTGGGAGTGCAGAGGCAGGTGGCTGAAGATGTTCTCCTCTGTCCGGGCTGGGATGTGGCCGTGGAAGTCATGGGGGGCGGAGAAGGGTCGGGAGGAAAGAGGATGAGCAGGGCCAGGTGAGCAGGTTGGACTTCGGGACTCGGCCTTCTGCAGGGGTCAGAAAACAAGACAGGGGAAGGCAAGGGTTACGTGCTGGGCACATGGAGGACAGCGGCCTAGAGGCACGGAGAACAGTGGGCCCCAGACCACCGTGAAACCAGCTGAGCTGGGGCCAGGACCAGGCTGCTGGCTGTACTCACGATGCTGCCCAGCGGGCTGTCTCCAGCTCTACAGTGACCACGAGCACACTCTGCCCCACTGTCTTCATACCCCCCGGCCAGCACATCTGGAGGAAGGGTGCTCCGATGAAGGGGACCCTGTGGTCACTCTGGCCTGGCCCTCTACCTTGGTTCTGCTGCCCTCCTATTCCTAAAATGGTCTTCATTCATTCAACTTCACCTTGGCCCTTGGGTTCCCACTCAAGGCTCTTGACCTTTCACCATGAGGAATTGTAATGTGACCTCCAAATTCAAAATCAAGGTAAGATCTCTCCAGGAGTGACAATATCAGGTCATGACAACAGTGTGACAGAAAAGGTGTTGGTAGGTGAAGTTGACAGAGTTGGCACTGTCAGTGGTGGGGTCCTGTGGTGACAGGGATGCTGGTGGTACAGAGATGGCATGACAATAGGGTAGGGACTGTGTGGATGATGGGACAACATCGCTCAGGCGGACAGGTGCATCAGTGGGGTGCTGAGGTGCCAGGACGACAGGCGGTGTTGGCCAATGGCAGCTGTGCTCATGGTCTGACAGGAGCAATACTGGCTGTGGGGAGCTGTGACAATGACATTGGAGATGGGGATGATTTGGGTTAAGCTCTGCCATCTGCCCAACAAGCAGGCTGGGTTGGGTCCGGTGGGGAATTACAMAAGGATTTCCACCCACATCCAAGGCCACGGCTCTCACTAGGGGTAGGACTCTGACCCAGGAACTCCGGAACCCACACTTGCTGCTGCTGAAGTTGCAAGAAAGTCTCATAACCCAGATGGCTGAAGGTGCCCAGCCTGGTGTCTGGTCTAGTAGCGCCCAAGGAATTTTTGCTAAACTATCAGCAACGACTGAGCGGGCAGAGTTGTTTAGCTCCAGGTGTGATTCTCAGAAAGTGTGAACTTGTCACCCTCCCACCCCCGGGAGTGACAACGGCAGGAACTCACCCACATGGAGGTGCAGGTCTCCGGGCTTCTGCCAAGAAGTTTGTGAGGTAGAGGTGTGGGCGGGAAGAGAACCCGCGGAGCTGGCCCCAAGCCTGGACCATGCTCACCCGCTGCGGGGCTGCCTGGCCCAGCCAGGGCCCACTTCCATGGCAGCGCTGACCGTGGTGGTGACTCAGCCCGACCCAGAGACCGTCTCCCGGTGGGTGAGCGTCTGGAGAGGCCTGGATCTGTGGTTCCCTCAAGTTCTGGGGATAGATGTGTTCGAGGGGCCAGTTCTCTTCCCAGGGGGTGGGGAGTGAGAGAAGACAGCGCAAGTCTTGGAGACCCACAAGGAGGAGGGGCCGTGTCCCTTCCTGGACCCATCTGGGGGCCAAGCATGCTTGCAACTGAGGCCTGTGGTTCTGGGGCCGGTGAACACTGCTGGGGAGATGAGTCGTTTTTGGTGAGTGAGTGTTTGCGGGCGAGTGGTGGACGGCTGCCTGCTTCTTTGCTTGGAGACCATGGCCTTCTGGGGGACATGGCCTTAGAGCTCAGGGCTGAGCTTGTGTCCTTCTCCACAGGGCCCGACAGGGCCAGTCCCAGCTGGGGAAGACCCAGGATGCTCTGGCTGGACGTGGAGCAACTGCTGGCTGTCAAGTGCTCAGCATCAGAGACTGAGCCGCCTCGTGTGGCCTCCTTGTCAGAGGTGGCATCTGGGGGCCGAGGACCCTGGACAGGTGAGGAGTCTGCCCGCGGCACGGCTGTCAGACCGGGTGGAGGCGCCTCTGAGGATGGCCGGGACAGCTCGTCCTGGCTCTCCTCCTCGTCCTCATCCTCGTCGTCATCCAGGTCTGAGTCCGAGTCCGAGTCCTCCAGGTCTGAAAACTGATGTTCCTCCACAGCCTCGGAGCCCTCTCGCCCTTCCGAGTCCTGGAACAGGTCATCACTGGTTCCTGAAGGGAGAATGCAGGAGACCTGAGGTCAGCCCTGGCTGTTCCTTCTAAAGCCCAGTTTCTTGATCGGCCACCCAGGCAGTATTCCTATGGTAATGGCACAAGATCTCTGGGTGGACCAAGTAACGCAACAGAAATGCGAATGCTTTGTAAATCATCGTGAACAGCAATGACTTCATCTCTACCACATGCAAGTTCAGATCTAAGAGCTTTAAGTGTATTAATCCATGTAGTCCTCAAAGAATGCTGGGACTATTCTAATCTTCAGATTATAGATGCGGAAACTGAGGTAAGAGAGATTCAGTAAGTTACCCAATAAGGTCACAGTAGGTCTGGGGCTGAACCACAGCAGGTGAGACAGTCTCCTTTTCCATTAATAATCAGGACGGGTTTCACCGTGAGCAAGTTATATTGCCTTGCTATTCCTCAGTCTCCCCTTTTGTCAAACAAATATGACAGTCTCACCTCCCAGGGTTAGCTAAGAAGAGAAAATGCAGGCCTGGCACCTAGCCAGGGTTCCAAAATTATAGTCACTGTGGATTCATTAAAGATGAAATTTATTATTCCAAGCCAGCCTGCATGATTAGTCTAAACACATATCTGACACCATAATCGGGTGCTGCTGGCTGGCACAATTGGTAGGTAGTAGAATAAATACGGCCCCTGTGAGAAGCTTGGCTAAGCTAGCCTCAAGTCACAGAGCAGGGCCCACCCTGGCCATGCCCTTGTCCTGAGGAGCCACTACCCTTTAGAAGCCTATGATGTTCCTAGCCTGGGGAGAGTAGCTCTGAAATGCCAGCTTCCTGGTTTGGCTTCTCGAGGAGCAACTTGGACCAGGTGGGTCACYGTTAGGTCTAGTCTGAGATGTATCTGAAATGGGCAGCATTCTAGATGCTGGGGAGAGCTTTGCTGATGTCTGGCCCACCTGAAAGGCCCTGAGGTTTGGGTCCTGCTGGCCCATTGCTAGATAATGATGACCTCATGTTTCTGGCCAGAGTATGGGCTGGTGAACCATCGGCTGGCCCATACCACTACTACACCCACGATTGACTGGGACCACCAGACATAGCAGCTGACCCAGGCCCCTGATGCACCCAGGCTTTGGATCTCCTCCAGGCTTCCCCAGGGCTAGGATGCCCAATACCGCCTGCTTCCAAATAATCAACATGCAGAAGTAAAATGGACAAAAGAGGACGTTCGGTGGGCTGCAGGTCCAAAACGATGGGGTAGAGCTGGGGAGGGCCACAAGAGGAAAGGCAGGGTCTCCTGGCAGCAGGGAGCAAAAAGATGAGGAATYGGGAGGAAATGGGGACGGAGTGGGGGTTGGGAGGGAAAGGGGGATAGAGATGGGAGGGCAAAGTTTTGAAATTTGGCTCCAGGCCAAACTTGAGTCCCCTTGCCAAAGACTTTGGCTGTAGACTACTGCAGCCCCAGAAGTTCACCTACCCCTGCCCCTCACTCAGGTATAGTGAAACAGAGGCACAGAGAGGGTAGGGGTACAACCAAAATCATCCATCAAGCTCCTGGCTGAGTTAGAACTAAGGTTCACAGYCCTTGCATTATTACACTGACAGCTTAAAAATGGTTTTATGCTTTGAAAAGCATCCATGGCCTTGGTTTGGATCCTAACTTCACCATTCCCTTGCTGTGTGACTCTGGCTAACTTCCTTTTATCTTTTTGTTCAGTTTTCTCACCTGTAAAATGGGGAGGGGATTAGTAATAATAGCCCCTCATGAAGGTGTTGTGAGAGTTCTGAGGTCCAGCACACAGTTAGCACCCAATAATCCTTAGCTACGGCCAGCTAAGAGGCAGTAGCTGAGTAGCATTATGAGCACTGATTGGGTGGTGCAGCTGGTGAGGGAGTCAGGGCCAGCATCTCCTGATATTCATCAGGGAGGCCCCTAAAGACCTTCTTCACTGATGGGGAAGTCGAGGCCCAGAGACTGAGGTGGYCTGTGTTGGTCATTCAGCACATGAATAATGGTAGCCAAGGGTGCCCAGCCTGGTGCACGCTTGGCCATGCCTTCCACATCCAGGTTCCTGCAGGACTCTAGGGGATATGCCCCTGTCTGGTTCGCCCCTTCCTGATGCCTCTCATAGGGATGTCCGGCCCCTGGGATCAAGGGCAAAGCTCAACAAGTCCTACCCACTAGGAGCTCAGGGCCCTAGGACCACCAAAGGAGCGCACCTCTGCGCTGMTAAGTGCCATAGCTGGAATGTGCCACACGGTGGCGCTGGCGCCCAACCTCATCTCCTCCGGGGCGGGGCTACAATGCCGGCCACCAGAGGGCTTGGTCTTCCAGGCTACCTTCCCACTTTGTCCAGCACACACCAACTCCTGATGCCCTGAATGTGCCTAGTCAGGAGGTGGCAACTCCATCTTTAAGCTATACACCTTGGAGTCATCTTTGGGTTCTTTTTTCCTTAGCCTCTTCTTCTCCCCTCTCTGATGTGACAGCAAGATCTGTGAGCTCTRCCTCTGAATCCACCCAGAATCCACCACTTCTCACCTGCACTGTGCGGCTGTCCGAGCCTAGGGTGTGCTTGGCCTGGACCACTGCCTCCCCTGCGCCCCCTGCCGGCTATGCCCTGCACCCAGCCAGAGCCCAGGCGGTCAGAGGCTGTCCCTGGTGCTACCTTCTCACACTGGATGACAGCCAAGCTCACCCCTTGACCTTCCTGGCATGAGGTCTCTGACCCACTGTCCTGGTGTCAGTGGGCTCTAGCCACACGGGTAAAGTGCTGTGGTCTTAGGGACTTAGCACCTGCTGCTTCCTCTGCCAGAGAGCTCTCCCCATACCCCACAAAGCTATGTTCCAGGCTCTCAGTTGGTTTTTTTGTTCTGCCTCTCTCCCCTGCTCTATTCCATATTTATTCAATGTCTGCCTCTCCCTCTAGAACACAGGCTTCCTGACACTGTACAATGGAGCTCAGAGCAGAGTTGTCCTCGTAGTTGCTTCTGGAAGGAATGTGTAGACTTCATTCTCACAAAGGTGGGTATGGTCATCCTTGTCCACCCCACTGGGAAAGTGAGGCTGGGAGGGAGGCAGGGACCACCAGGGAGGCTCTGGGTTGGGCTCAGGGTCCCCCAGCAATGGGGGAAGTAGTGTGGAGCCAGTGCATCTCTGTGATCTTTGGTGACTGCCTTTACCTGTCTGAACTTTCCTTTCTTGAAATGCGGAAACACAAGTTCCTACCACCTGTTCTGAGGACCTAATTGAACAATATCTGTAAATGGCCTGTTGTCCACTCTTGACAAGCATGGGAGCCCCATAATTTGGTGTTGGGAAGTACAGCCCCAATTTCATTCTGTTCTGTTCTATAAGAGAAAGGGAAATGTGATTTAACTCTTTTGTGAGACTGCAAATACATCTCCAAATCTGAAAAATGAAAACTGAACAAAATACACACACACACACACACACACACACACACACACACACACACACACACGTTATCCTATGTTACATTCTAAGTACCTGATCCTGATTTCAAGAAATCTGTGGTCAAAGGTTTTTCTGCTGGAGGGACTACCTGTCCATCTGCCAAAGCTCCTCTGGCTTCCTACCTGGGTGCTGAGATGGGGCAGTGCTCACCAGACCCACAGCCTTGATCAGCTCCCCTCTCCCCTGTGTGCTGGGAGACTGGCTCTAACATGACTCTTGGTGCTGGAGGACTTGGCTGGGTTGTGGTCGTGGGATGGGGATTGGTAGGTGACAGGGGCTGTTGCATCTGGCTTTGGCTCTCTCAAAACCCTCAGGCCCATGTCAGAGTGTGGTTATGGAGCTTCTAGAGTAAGGACCCACAGAGTCATTGTGAAGTCTGCCGGGTATTTCAGGCACGTGTTTAGAACGTGCCTGGCACATAGCTGGTGTGCGTTGCCAAAGGCGATGACACATGTGCTCATACTCAGTGCACATCCACAGAGCTCCGCGGGGCGACAGTGCTCAACACCACTGCAGACGGGAGTGGGGGTGATCCCCTGTGAATTCCACCTCTGTGCCCCAACAGTGGAGGAAGCCAGAAGGGAAAGGCATGGGAGGGAGGGGGAAAAGCAGGGGGAGAGGCATCAGTGGAGAGGAGGGCAGATGGAAGGGACAGGGAGAGGGGCAGGTGGAGGGTGCCCATTCCTTACCCTCTTCGGCTTCCAGCTCCTCTAGCACCCCTGTCTCTTGGCACTTTTTGCTGTGGGCTTTCGACTTCATGTGCTTAGTCAGATTCCCTGGAAAGGAACGAGGACAGACTCAGGTTCAGCTGCAGGATACGGCTGGGGAGGGCCAGAGGCAGCTGTGGCTTCTCACACTAGAGGCCTTGCCAGCTGCAGAGGCTGGGCAGAGGCCAGGCACCCCTCGGCCCCAATGTTCAGGCCAAGGCGTGCAGCCAGAGCTGATGGTTGTGGTAGAACACAGGAGCTGGGATGGAGAGGGCATGGGGCTGTGAAGGGACAGACAGAGGGTCCAATGAGAAAGAGAGATGCTGGTTAAAAAACAAAACCAAAAAAAAAAAAAAAAGAAATTATTAAAAGATCACTCAAGTGCAATTGTTTTTTTTTYCCTGATTCTGATTTCAGTCTGGGCCCAGGAGCTGGCAGCTTGCYTCAGACAGGATGACTGGCCACCTCAAGTGGTGCAAGAACATAGGGACTCCCACGGACCATCATGAAGGGTGGGGATTGAACATGCCCTTCTGGCCAAGGACTCTTCCAGGCAGCCCACAGGGCAGAACCTTAGGGTCTGTGAAGAGGATCCAGGGCAAAGTTACTTTTAGGGTTGGAGAGAGGACAGAAAGTAAGAGTAGGGACATCACTGGCCATGAACCTGGGAGCCACAGGGCTGGGGCCCAAGCCTGGCTTCCCTAGTGGAGTGTCTTTCCTGGGCCTGTTTCCCCAGGCCAAGGTGCAGTGCAGACACAGGATGCAGGTGGTTCAGGGGAGGCCAAGGCTCTTTCCTGCCCCACGCCTACAAAACTCTTAGGGAGGCCAACGGTGCCCAAAGTTGTAAGACCAGCCCTGCAGGCTATGGAGCAGGGGCCGTAGCTCTGTGAGATCGAGAAATGGGAACAGCAGCTTCATTCCTTTCTCCTCTGCCATGTGCACAGCATTTCACGAACCACAGAGTTCTGTGGACAGCCATGTCCTGGGAGGAGAGGTCAAGCGCCCCTAGCATGCCCCAAGAGAACAGGCCAGATGCCTTGGATGTTCCTTTGGCCCATCCCAGACTGTGCTCTGAGGACTGCTGTATTTCCGTATGCTCTACCACATAATAAACCATAAGTTCCCCAAGTCAGGTGCTTTGTCTCATGAATTGTATTAATGTGTAAGTTTGAATGAATGGACGAGCAGAGGAGAATGGAAAGAGTTAGACATGCTGGAATGGAGGTAAAGAGAGATGGGTGGAGGGATGGATGGCTCGGTGGCTAGAGGAACTAAGGAAAGCAGAATGGGAAGAGAGCAGAGGGAAGGGACAGAATGAGCAGACAGGCAGATGAATAGATGGCAGATGAGTGGATGAGGGAAATGAACGGGCGGATGGATGGAAAGGGAAGTGGAGAGCTGGTGGAGGGAGARCAGCCGGCTGGCTGCACACACAGGCGGAAGTGGGAGGTCAGACTGCAGGAGAGGAAGGGAAGCTGCATGAAAGGAGAGATGGACGGAAGAGTGCGAGGAACAGACAGGGAAAGTGGATGGTGGAGAAATGAGCTGGAGAGGAGATGGATGGGTGGGTAAACAGGGGGACTGCCCATGGATGATCAAAGGGTGCTTCTGAATCAGCCTGAGATCTTTGGGGTTCTGCTGAAGAGATGGGGGAGGAGAGCTTAAGCTGGGATTCCTTGAGGTGTGGGGAGCCAAGGGCAGCAGGACAGGTGGAGAGGTGTCCTCCTCTCCTGCCACTGGACAGAAGCCCAGCTGTTCTACTCCTGACCATAGGGGGAGCAGAACCACATCTTCCCAAGACATCTTGTGACCAAAGGGTTCCCAAAGGTCTCTATCAGCCTCGTGAATGCCACTTTCGCTGTCATGCCTGAAGATTGTCAAGAGGTGGGAAGAGGCTCCTGGGGTCTTCCGTGGACCAGAGACACCAACCCCTCAAGCCCTGGAAGCAGCCTCCTTGCATTGATGACCCCAGGCCACCGAGGACATGAACACTGCTCCTTCTGGCCATCATTCCATTTCTCACAAAAATTTTTCCCCGAGATGGTTTAGGTTTCTTGCCAGTCACATTAGATACTGAGCACACTGTGGGTGTACAGTGCCCCCTAGGGAAATGCCATCACAAGTGTCGGGGAGGGACCTCACAGACCCTATAATCCCACCCCCATCAGGCTGAGGCCTGTCCCTGCTGCTCACCTAACTCTGGGCCCAGGTGCTGATCACTCCATTAGCTAAGATCACTGGCTGTCCTGGGTGGTGGCACGACTCCCCTTAACCACCATGGTTGACCAAGTGGCCCCAAGTCACAGTGCTAGCTAGTTTAGAGCACTGACTGGGCCCAGGTCTCGGGGCGCTGGGAGCCTTGCTGGCTCCAGGCAGGGGAAGCAACGGTCTAAGATGATTCTGAGCATGAGGCCTTGGGGTGGCCCAGGCTCTGCCGCTGCTGGCTGTGTGACCCTGAGCAAGTTCTGAACCTTGCTGAGTCTGTTTCTGCAGCTGTAAAGTAATACCTACCTCGTGGGGATGCTGAGAGGATTTGAAGACACAACCCATGCGGCAGGAGAGTGTGGCTGGCCCAGAGCAGACCCAACCCCCTCCGTGACAGTCACTCTCTATGGAGCACCCAGGGACTCTGCCACACCTGGTGCTGGGCCAGGAGGAGAGAGGTTCTCAGGTGATGCTCATGAAGAAATGGCTTCACCTTTCTGTCTGGGCCTCAGGGGTGCTCAGGAGAAGGCCCCACAAAGTTCCCACTCGGCAGGTCTGCCTCTTCTCTGCCACCACCCTCGGAAGCTGCAGGGAGGCTGAGGTGACTCTGCAGGTCATGGGAGCAGATGCTGGACGAGCGGCCCTGAGCTCGTCCTGTCTCCCCACCCCCCAACTCCTTCCCCACCTGTCACTGCCTCTGACCAGGGAGAGGCTTCCTGACCCTGCAGAAACAGGATGGAGGCCAGGTCCCTGTCAAGGGGCAGAGCCACCGCTTCTCACAGCCAACCCAGCCCCCCCATGGAAAGTGACAGCTTGGAGTGGAGGAGGAAAGGCCGGTGGGGAGAAGGTGACCGGTATCTGGAGGAACYCTGCCCCAACCCTGCTGGCCCAATGGACGCGAGGCCTGTCCACAGCTGCCATCTCTGTCCTCTGAGGTTGCGATCGGCGCAATGGCCCGCACACAGCACAGCCACCCTGCTGACCTCTGGAAACCATCTGAAGAGGACAGACTACAGGCCAGTCCCCGGGCCTTTGCTCCTCAGGTGGCTCCCAGAGGCCTGAGCTGCCACTTCCACGTCTGACACAGAGACGAGACACAGACAGGCAGACAGAGACAGACAGGAAGGGCTCCCAGACACGGCACAGCCAGGCAGAGGTGACAGGGGTCCCAAGGACTGCCAGGCCGAGCCTGAATGCTCATGTAGGCTGCCTAGGCCACAGCTTAAGGGAGAGAGAGGAAAGTGGTGGAGGTCACCCGAGAGGTATGCAGACAGCCCAGGAGAGGGAGGGGCTGCGTTATCAGAGCTTGGCCCCAGGGAGGCCCAAGAGCTCCAGTGTCCTCCCCGCTTCATGGCCACCTGCTCTCTGCTTCCATCTGCCACCGCCCCAAGAGGTCCCCTCAGCTAGGCACAGAGTTTGGATTCTACCTTTTCAGATGTCCTCTGGCGTGGGCCGGGAAGCTCCCCGGCTGACCGCAAAGCTGCCCAGGCCTGGCCCTGCTTCAGAGGACACTCCACACCCCTGGAGATGTGGGGCACCACCCCACCTGCTCAGCTTCTGCACTCTGTGGTGGCTCAGAGAGACCCAGGAAGGGAGGTCAGGCCAGGGGTGGCCTCCACTGCAGGTGCCTTCTAGAAAGTGGGGGTTCCCATGAAGACCCCAGACCTTACTCAGACTTGGCAAAACAGGCAAGGTAGAGGAATTCAGCGGGGCCCCTTAGGGGACTGCCTGTGCTGGGAGTCAACAGGGATGGGCTTTTCCTGTCTCACATGGCAGAGGCTCCCAGAGGGCTGCGTGCTGGGCMCAGGTGTGCTGTGTGGCCTGTGGCCAGGAGGCTCCCCCAGGTCCCTCATGCCGACGATGCAGCCCTGTGAGTCCCTGGGTGTGCTGGGAATCGAAGCAGCACTTGCCACCCACTCCAGAGGTCATCTGACTGCAGACCTGACCCCTCCCTCCAGAGACAGGAGGACCTCTCGTCCAGAGGAAGGGGAGGGCTGCTGCCCTGGAGGCAGGGGCTCTCGTGCATGGTCACTTCTGGTTCCGGGACTCACTTTCTTCAGCTTCTCAGGGGCTTGGAYAAGAAGCCTTCCACTTTTAGAGCTGTATTGCTTCAGACTGTGTTACTTAAACTGTCAGCCAATTTTCCCCATCTTTCTCTTCCATAAAATTCCAACTGGCTTCTTAAGGCCACAGGAAATTGGATGGTAGGGGACAGGTGGGGACAGAGCCCGAGTCCAGGCTGAGTTGAGCTGAGTTGCCCTGGGTGTGGCAGGGCTCTAGGGATAGATGCCTTTGATGTGCTCATCAGCAGGGTAGGAGGCTCCAGGCCTAGCTGCACTCTCTGGGACATTGTTTCTGAGCCATTAAGAGAGAAGAGGACACAGAAAAGGAAGTGTGTGTGTGTGCGGGGGGGCTGCGTAACTCCATCCAACCCAAAACCTTGGTGGGAAAATTTGAGTTCAACTCAAAGATGACGTTGAGAGGACAGACGAGGGTCGGGCTCAGCTGATGGGGTTGGGAGACCAGAAAGAGGAACATGGCCAGAGAGGAGGCCACTGAGCCAGGGCATGTGATAAACTGGCCTCTGATCTAGTACAGAAAGAACGGAAGGGGCCGGGCAACAAGAGGATGGAGGAAGGAGGGAGGCTGGAGCCTCTACTGGGTTCTTTCCACAGAGGCTGCCCAGCGGCCACCACTGGGAACAGCTTTATCAACAGAAGAAAGGACAAGTGGCAAAGCCCAAGTCTGTGCTGAGTTTTGCTCCCTGGAAAACAATGTGGGGCCATCATGAAGGGCCCCAACATGCTCAAAGGAGAAGATAGCACCCTTGTGTCCAAACCATGACGCGGGCATTTGCAAAGCATGAGAACTGATCCACTAGGGTGCTGAGGGCCTGTGCCCCCCTCCGAGGCACCCCATTCTGCTCAGCTCCCCAAAACAGTGAGCAAGAGGCAGGACCCTCCCTGCAGGTCTTACAGGGAAAGAACTAACTAAGTCCATCCAAGAATCTCATGGACCTGGTTCATCCAACCCCCGGCGGCCAGGCCACTGCTGAGACCCATCACAGCTCTCTGGGATGCATGCTCTCAACAGCCGGTCCTTCCTTTCACAGGTGACTGCCAGAGCCTGTCCTGACCCTGATGTGGGTTGTGGCCGGAGCAGGAGTGACGCTGCTGGTCTAGGGGTGGGGCTGCTGGGCCCTTTGCTAAAGGCTACTGAGAAGCCTGGCAGAGCAGGGGCATGGCGGGGGGGGGGTGGAGGGGGTGAGGAGGGGTGGGGCAGGAGTGAACTCTGCACAAGACGTGTGAGCATGCGAGTGTGCCGAGTGGCCCAGGGTGGGATGGATTTCCAAATGCAAGAGTGGCAGTGACGGGTGGGTGTGGATGCTGGACGTTATCAGATCAGTGGATTAACGGCTACGGAGACATGCAGAAGGAAGAGCGATGAGATAAGTAGGAAACCAAGAGCTGGGCAGTGTGCCCCCAGGGAGATGAGGGGGTGTGTCCCCAGGGAGGTGAGGGGGTGTGCCGGTGGGAGGAGGGGCTGTGTGCGGGATCCAGGAGCACCTGCCGGGGGCAGCCGTGGGTGCCACTGCCCAGTCTGGAGCTGCCTGTTCTGCCATAGGCACCAAGTGGGGTGGGAACTCAGGAGATGAATGTCAGGCCCCAGGCAAACAGGTCTGTGCTGGGGCTCCCAGAGGGGAGCTCCCTGCAAGGGGCAGAGCCAGTGCCCCAGCTGACTGTCTCTTACCTTTGGTTTTAAAAGCAAAGTGACAGTGCTTGCACACATAGGGTCGGACGTCAGTGTGGGTGCGGATGTGTTTCTTCAGCATGCTGGGCTTCTTGCAGCGAATTCCACACTCCTCACAAACATATTTCCCTCGGCCGCGGCCTCGCACATATACATACTCTTCGTTTGATTTGTACCTATGAGCAACAGGTGTCATGTAAAGGAAAAAAAAAAAGGGGAGGAGAAGAGGCAGGTTCCCACCTCAGAAGATGCACGGTTTCCTAGCTTTGCCCAGCCCGGTCACGACGCCTGGAGTGGAGAATGTKGAGCACCGTGGGCTGGGAGGGAGAAGGCGCCCTGGGGATCCACAGTGGACCCCTGCACCCGGCCACCTCTGAAAGGTACGCCCGCCACACCTGCCTTTCTCCCTAGAGTGGCAGGCAGGTGCTTCCTGCCAGGGGACACGAAGCGCATTTCTGACAGCCTCCTTTCCACAACCAGCCCTGACCACCGGGCCACAGAGAGTGAGCGCCACACAGAACAGCCACCGTAGGCCACCAGAGTCACAGAGTCAAATCCCACAAAATAACAGCAGCAGCTCTAGAAGCTGTGATTCACCCAGCTCACCTTGTGCCGGGCACTTGACCTGAATTAAATCACAATGACCTCACAACAAAGAGGACCTGACCTGACCCCAGGTTCAGAGAGGGYGAGACGTTCACCCAGGATCCCACAGCCAGAAAGGGACAGAACCAGGATCTGAACCTGCCTACCCTGAGCTGGTCCATTTCCCAGGAGGGGTGAAAGCAAGCCGTCAGGAAGACACCCCGATGCTCCAGGGAGGCAAATGCCAGGGACCACCATTATTTTCCTGGTTTCAGAGCCTGGTGGCCAGGAGCCCCGTGCTCTCTCCCTCGCCCCCGGCTCCATCACGCTCTGTAGGAAACAGATTCCCAGTCCCATCAGGAAGCACCAGCCACTCTCAGGGGCCTCTGGACTGGCCAACCCATTTGCTGGGGCTCAGGGCCACTGACCCCAGGACCCTGAACTGGACACTCTCATTTCCATCAGCAGGAGGAAGCCCACAAGGCCCACAGGCTCAACCGACGATGCGCGGACTGCCATATTCTGGCACTACAAATGAGCACGTCTGCAGACGCAGGTGGGCGAGGCTGTGGCRGGCAGTGGGGAATCCTGGCCGGCTTCCAGGAGAGAGCTTTCTGACTCACGGAGCCTCAGGGCCGCTGGCAGGGTGCTTTGCAGGAGGTGAGCACGCCTTCAACGCCTGCAGCAAGAGCTGCCCATCACCACACTCAAGAGAGAGGCCAGGGAGTGATGGGGACTGGAGGGGGGACAGGAGGTGACAAGGGCCCSACCCTGCTTCAGGAGCCTCAGCTGAGGGCTAAGAGAATGTCACAGGGATGGGCCTGAGACAGGGCTCTGTGAGGGGCTGCAGGCAGCAGCAGAAGGGTCACCCCACACCCCACACTCACCTGCACCCGCACACACCCAATCACACTCACACCCCAATTATACACGTCCCTCAAACTCTCTCTCACGTATACTCAGACTCCCATTCACAYCCACAYACTCATGCACCCTCACACATGTACGCCCCCACACCAGCTGCACACCCCTCCACACTCACACTCAGACACCCTACACTCACGCTCATACACACATCCCCACACTCAAGTCCAAATGCACGACTCATGCTCAGTCTCTCTCTCTCTCACACACCCTAGTTCCAGCCCCCTCACACTTTCACTCTCACACCCACCCTCACAGGCTCAGACTTCACACAGACCTCACACTCTCTCACACTCATGCCCCATACTCACGCTCACACCCTCATTCGTGCCTCCACTGCCACCACACTCCTCATATTCACACACATACACGCGCGCACACACGCACACACACACCCCTCTTACACTGCCATGCTCAGGTGCTCACAAACCTCTGCACTCATACCCTATACTCTATCACACACACACACACACACTGCCCACTCATGCCCACTCGCATGTGAATTGCTGTCCCCTATGGGCCTGTTTTTTTGGTCACCTTAGATTTGTCCATCTGCCTCTTAAGGAACCTAACACTGTCCTTCCTTCACCTTAACAGGTGCTGACCAGCCAGTCAGGCAGGGTCCTCAGGCCCCAGGCCACCTCAACCCTGGTCAAGGGCACGCGCCATCTTGTGTTCAAGAGGAGGAACTGCAGGCTCTGGAGGAGGGGTGGGGAGAAGTGACTATTGTGCTATTAGGAAGAGCACCCTCCCGTCAAACAGGGATGTCTGCCTACTAAATGATAACTCTTCAGCATCAGGCAGCTGTCCACACAGGATTTTAATTCCCATGACCCTCTGTTCCCTGGGACCCAGGGGAAGCAGGTTGAGACAGGGCACCCTTTCCCAGCCAGGAGAYGACGAGAGGATGGCCGGACCTCCTCTTTGCACCGGAGGTTCCTGCTGCCACCTGGCTTCAACCTCCACCCGGCCCTGCCCGGCGGGTCCACGAAGCTTGAGTTCCTCTGACCGCCTAGCACGACGGTGTCCTTTGGAGTCAGATTTCCTGCACCCTCCTGCTGCCCACAGCCTCTCTGACCTCTGCTGCATCTGGGCTCCGCTCTGTGCTAAGGTCCTAGCGCCAGTCCACCTCAGTTATCCCAGCCCCCTGCATTTCTCCCTCCATATCAAGCTCAAGCGAACGGTGCATGGTCTTCAGAGAGAAAGAAAGAGAGACTGAGTCCTCTGGGCGGTGACTTGACTGGGGTTGGGGCACACACAGAACCATGTACCACACTTTGCCAGGCCACAGAAGGTGTGTGCCCTCTGCACAGAGGGAGAGCCCGAGTGGGAGCAGTCGGGGAGGATGGTGACAGGTAGTTGGGAGGACTCCCAGCAGGGACCCCAGGAGCAGCGGCAGGGTTGATAAAGGCCTGGGGGGGGGTGGACGAGAGGAGTTGAGGCTGGACAGGCAGGGCAGGGGGATCACCATCCAATGCCACCTTAAGGAGTTGAGACTTGCTCAAAGTTGTCTCTCWTGTAGATATAAAGTCTCAGGGCAGTTCTGGATGGGTGGGTGTGGTTTGGAGGAGGGGAGTGAGTGTGGGCTCCTGTGCCAGGACAGACCCGAGGGTCTTCGAGTGTGGACGCCAGAAGACGTTGGTGGCCATCTGGTTGGGGTAGGGGTCAGAATGAGGGAGAAACAAAGATCCAAAGTTTGCAGCTTGGCCCCCTCAGGAGGCACCGTTCAAGCGTGAGAGGGATGCGATGGGGGATTCTGATTTTCAACTGCTGTGTCTCACACTCAGTGAGAGAGACGTGAAGGAACGTCGAGCACATGGGGATCTGTGGGACGCAGGAGAGTTTGTGCAGACCTGCTTGGAGAAGGTGAGCACACAAGAGAAAGAAAAACCAGACCAGTACCGTGTCATGGCAGAGGCCTGGGTGGCCCCAAGGATAAGGGTGAGCAGAAAATATGGTACCAGGAAACCTGCCCCAAACAGAGGAAGGTCAGAGAAGCCAGGAGCCAGGAGAGAACTGTGGTTTGGACGCCCAGAGGAGACGTCTTTCAGAAGGGCGGCCAGTGGGGCTCAAGGTGATGGAGAGCCTGTGGAGGGCCGCTAAGGGCCGAGCACCCCAGGCCCTGGAAGACACAGCTCTGGCAAAAAATGGGATCCTGCGACTCCTCTCCTCCATGAAGGCCCGGTCCACGCCTTGTCTTTGTGTTTCCTAAGAGCACAGCCCAGGGACAGGCATGGGGCAGCTGTGATTCAATGTGGGCTGCTCCTCCTGCCTGAGGACCTGGCTTTGCTGCCTGCACAGAGGTCCCACCCTATTCACTGTCACCTCCTGGCTCCTTCCAACCACAGACACAGGCTCCGCTCTCTCCATCACAAGCCTCCTTGATCCCAAGCCGTTCCAGCTCCAGCTCCTCTGCTTCCCTGCCCAGACCGAGGTTGGAAAGGGCCCTCCGTCCTGCTGTCCATCCCCTCACCACTCCACGCTCCCTGGGTCACTGCAGTCCGGCTCTGCTGACCACCAGTCCATGCCAAGCTCACAGGGTCACAGTACCCTGTCTACCCTCTTCCCTGCCTTCTGGAGGCAACTGCGTGGCTGGGGTGACGTTCCCTCTAGACTGCGCCTCCTGTGCAGCCCTCTTCTTTCCCCCCAGGCTTCAGCCTGTGTGCCTCTCACCTGGCACCTTCCCCAGGTGGCTTCCCACCTGAGCACTCACGGCTCCCCCTCCTCTCTCCAGCTCCAACCAGGACTACAAGGCTGAACATCCCCTCAACATCCACCTGGGGGACCTGGGGCAGGTAAGGTCTACCTCTAGGGAGGCAGTCATTGGGGGAAGTTAGGACACCCGGGTGTGCCCTTGAAGGGGAAATTGGGACCCTGGTCCCTTCCTCTCTCTCTGCTTCATGGCCACCATGAGATGAGCAGCTTCCTCCACCATATGCTCCCCACCATGAAGTGCTTCCTCACCAAAGGCCCACAGGTGATGGTTCAAGTGGCCACGAACTGAAACCTCTGAAACCATGAGCCAAAGCAAACCTTTCCTCCTTTAAGTCAATTATTTCAAGTATTTTGTCACAGTAACAGAAAGTTAACAAACAGGAACAAAGCCCTAAAAGGTTCAAGTGACATGGCCAGGATCACCCTGACATGATCTTCCTACTTAGTCCCCGTCCCCATGTAGACTTGCTGCACTCCCACTCTCAGATGGAACCCACCAAGGCTTTCTTGGCACCTTCCCTCTCTGGTTTCCCAGGGACCTGTGACACTGCACACAAGCAAGAATGGTATCCGTCTCTACCCAGCCCTTCCTGAAAGTTCAGCCCTGGGCTGGAATCCCCAGGTGTCCACGGCTGCAGCAAATGCTCTGAGAAGGCTAGGGCCGGAAAGCAGGCCTGTGCGGGGGCCTTCCTGGGGCACAGGCCTTCCTCCCAGGTCTGCTCGCTGCCACCTCCTCCACCTCAGGCTGCTCCTTGGAGACCTGGGTCATAGGCTGCCCTGATCCCATGCGGGGAGGGGACTAATCCCCTGCCTGCTCTGAGGCTGCAAGACAGCCCTCCACAGACAGGTCTGGAACGGTGGACTGCGGGCCCACTGCCTGCCTGTCTTCTGCTGTCCTGATAAGCCAGGGGCCTTGGTCAGGCGGTATGGCTGTGCTCTTAAAGGAAATGAG